TAGTCTTTCTCTCATTCACTACGTGGGTCACTTTAGTCATAGAAGGAGATCAGGCTGGTTCAACAGGATCTGCCTTTCAAGAACCTGTGCTGGCTGGGCCTGATGCCTTGGTTGTTCTGCACATGCCTTGTGAGCACCCTCAGGATGAACTGCTCCATAATATTATCCGGTACCGAGGTCAGGCTGACAGGCCTGTAGTTCTCCGGATCCTCCTTCCGGCCCTTCTCGTAGGTGGGTGTCACACTGGCAAGCCTCCAGTCATCTGGGACCTCCCCTGTTAACCAGGACTGCTGATAAATGATGGAGACTGGCTTTTTTTTGTTCTCCGCGGAGAATGGCTTGCAAGCTCCTCCGCCAGCTCCCTCAGCACTCTTGGGTGGATCCCATCAGGCCCCGTAGACTTGTGAGTGCCCAGGTGACATAGCAGGTTGCTAACTGCTTCCTCCTGGATTATGGGGGGTTTATTCTGCTCTCTGTAATCAAAACTATCTGAATAATGCATCTGTCACTTCAGAAAATGCAATTTTCTTCACAATAACATTTCAAACACATTAAAATTCAGAAAATCAATTATTCCACTTTTATGCTTTTAATGTAATATTAAAACACATCTTGTCTTAAAAGACTGTACTTGACAAAGAAATGTTTCATTTGGTTCTCCAAAGTAATACTGACATGCTGTTCAAAAAAGTTGATTGGGTTCTAATTAAACATTGTGACCTGAATTCTTTGTTACTTGGTAGTAAACCTAGATCAGAAGTTTACCACCTCATTAAAATAAGTATCTTTTGCATCATTTTGTTGTCAATCCAACAAAACTTGGAAACCAAGAACTCAGTGAAACTGAAATAGATTTTTATATTCATTTGCTGAGAGGTATTTGAAGATGAAATTGGAAAATATCTTGGTTTTGTGAGGACAATGTTTGCTAGATAAAGCAAATATATCTTAGAGATTTAAAATAAATATCAAACATCAAATGTTATTTTTAGTGGCTGCAATTTTACTGAACAACCTAAGACATAAATTGATAACTTTACCTTTTTGTTCTGATACCTTATCTTGTTTAATTATTTTGATATTGTTATGATAAGCAGAAAAATGCAAATTTGTGAAGAAAGGAAGAAACAGCCTGGCAGAGGAGCTGGCTTTAGGAAGAATAAACACTGCAATCTGAGTCCTAGGCTCAGTGTAAGACTGAGTCACATCTCATAGTTTTAAAATTATCTAGGTTTTTTATTCTTCAGCTCACAGCACAGGATATAATATGTCTTTTTTTTTTTTTATGGATACTTGGGATTGTTTAAAAATACATTAAAAATTAAGATAAAAGAAAGTAAGGAAAGTAAAACTGGTCTATTATGGATAAATATTGTCCCATCTTATTTTAATGTCTGATATTTTCTTGTCTGATCTAAGAATCTTAAGCTACAAATTATTAAATACAGATATATTTTTGTATGTACTACATATGTCTACAAGTTTTATGCTCTTTAACCCATTGCAATAAATATTTGTAAATCACAGAGTTATAGAATAAAATCAGGTTAACTCAGGAAGTCATATATTCCAGGATCCTGTTCAGGATAATGTCAACCACTAATTCAGAACAGGAGGTTGTCCAGTCAGGTCTGAAAAACCTCCAAAGATAAAAATTCCACAACTTCTCTGGGCAACATGTTCCTGTGTTTAATTATCCTAATAATGATTTTTTTTCTTTAGGTCATGCTGGAACTTCCCTTGATTCAAAGTGTAAAGCGCTATGTAGCTTTGGAAAGAGCCCTACTTGATCCTTTTTGATCAGCTCCTCTTATTGGAAAGTGCCCAATAGGAAAACTCCTCCTGCCTGATGCTAAAAAACACCAGCTCCCCTAGCCTCTCTTCACAAGTCTTGTGCTCCAGACTCCAAGCATCTTGGTGACCCTTGCTCAAGTTTATTCAAGTATTGGGGGGGGGGGGGGGGGGGGGGTGTGTGTGTGTGTGTCAGAACTGCTCACAGTATTTAAAT